AATTCAAATTTAGGTGTAAAGTTAGGTTATTTGATGTTTCTCTTGTTTCTTGAGGTAGACTTGTATTGCTATAAGCTTACCTTTTAGCACTGCTTTTTCTGAATACTGTAGGGTGTGAGTCATCATTTTTCATTGTCATTTGTTTCTAGGTGTTTTTTTTTTTATTTCTTCTTTGATTTCTTAAGTGACCTCTTGGTTATTTAGAAGTGTATTGTTTGGTCTCCATGTGTTTGTATTTTCTGCAGACTTTTTTTCCTGTATTTGATATCTATTTTTATAGAACTGTGGTTGCTTGAAATGATTTCAGTATGCTTAAATTTACCAGGGCTTGATTAGTGACCCAAGATGTGATCAATCATGGAGAATGTTCCATGTGCACTTGAGAAAAAAATTGAAATGTACCTTCTGAATAAAATGCCCTGTAATCAATTAGGTCCATCTGGTCCAATGTATTATTTACAGTTTAGTTTTCCTTATTAATTTTCTGTCGGGGTGATCTGTCTATTGCTGTGAGTGGAGTACTGAAGTGTCCCCACCTTATTGTGTTACTGTCAACTTCCTGTTTATAGTTGTTAGCTTTTGCCTTATGTATTGAGGTGCTCCTATGTTGGGTACATATTTATTTATAATTGTTATACCTTCTTCTTGGATTGATCCTTTGTTGTGCAATGTCCTTCCTTGTCTCTTGTAACTGTCTTTATTTTAAAGTCTATTTTATCTTATATGAGTATTGCTACTCCTTTTTTTTTATTATTTCAATTACAATGAAATATATTTTTCCGTTCCCTCACTTTCAGTCTGCATGCATCCCTAGGTTGGAGGTGGATGTCTTGTAGACAGCATAAATAGGGGTTATTTTTTTTTTTTCCCTATCCATTCAGTCAATCTGTGTCTTTTGGTTGGAGTATTTTATCCATTTACATTTAAGATAATTATTGATATGTATTATCCTATTATCATTTACTTTATTGCTTGAGGCTAGTTTTATAGGAGTTTTCTTTCTCTTTGTTTCCTGTCTAGAGAAGTTCCTGTAGCAATTGTTGTAAAGCTAGTTTGGTGGTGCTGAATTCTACTAACTTTTGCTTATCTGTAAAGTTTTTGATTTCTCTGTAGAATCCGAATAAGACCCTTGCTAGGTAGACTGATCTTGGTTGTAGTTTTTTCCTTTTACCCCTTTAAGTATATCCTGCCACTCCCTTCTGGCCTGCAGAATTTTTGCTGAAAGATCAGTAGTTAGCCTTATGGGGAACCTCTTATATATTATTTGTTGCTTTTTCCTTGCTGTTTTTAACACTTTTTCTTTGTCATTACTTTTTGTTAATTTGATTAATATGTGTCTTGATGTGTTTCTTTTTGGGTTTATATAGGACTCTCTGGGCTTCCTGAACTAGGATGGCTATTTACTTTCCCATGTTAGGGAAGTTTTCAATTATAATATCCTCAAATATTTTCTCATACTTTTTCTTTTTCTCTTCTTCCTCTGGGACCCCTATAATTTGAATGCTGGTGTGCTTAATGTTGTCCCAGAAGTCTTTGAGTCTGTTCTCATTTCTTTTAATTTGTTTTTCTTTATTCTTCTCTGTTTCAGCTTTTTCCACCATTCTATCTTTCAGGTCACTTATCTGTTCTTCTGCTTCAGTTACTCTGTGATTGGTTCCCCTTTAGTGCATTTGTAATCTCAGTTATTGTTTTATTCATTGCTGATTGTCTACTTTTTTGGTTTTTTTTTAGATCCTTATTAAAAATTTAGTGTATCTTCTCACAGTTTATTTATCTGTGACTCCATTTTATTTCCCAAATTTTGGATATTCTTTACTATCATTACTCTGAATTCTTTTTCAGGTTGAGTGGCTATTTCCTTTGGATTTGTTTTTTCTTGTGGGCTTTTTTTTTTTTTTAACCATTTTTCCTCATCTGTTGCATGTCCCTCTATCTTTTCATTTTATTTAATTTACTGTGTTTGGGGTCTCTTTTCTGCAGGTTGGAAGGTCACTGTTCCTCTTATTTGTGGAATCTGTCCCCGTGGGTGTTGTTGGACCAGTGTCTTGTGAAGGTCTCCTAACTGAGTAGACCTCCCCCTGCGTTCTGTTGGATGGAGCTGGATCATGTCTCTCTGAAGAGCAATGTCATGTCCAGTAGTGTGTCTATGGATTTAGTATGGCTTTGGGTAGCCTGTTTATTAATAGGCAGTATTTTGTTCCTGATTTGCTGAAGGTTTGGCATGAGGCAATAACCTCAGATATGCAGATGACACCACCCTTATGGCAGAAAGTGAAGAGGAACTAAAAAGCCTCTTGATGAAAGTGAAAGAGGAGAGTGAAAACGTTGGCTTAAAGCTTAACATTCAGAAAACTAGGATCATGGCATCTGGTCCCATTACATAATGGGAAATAGACGGGGAGACAGTGGAAACAGTGGCAGACTTTATTTTTTTGGGCTTCAAAATCACTGCAGATGGTGACTGCAGCCATGAAATTAAAAGACGCTTACTCCTTGGAAGGAAAGTTATGACCAACCTAGACAGCATGTTAAAAAGCAAAGACATTACTTTGCCAACAACGGTCCGTCTAGTCAAGGCTATGGTTTTTCCAGTGGTCATGTATGGATGTGAGAGTTGGACTGTGAAGAAAGCTGAGTGCTGAAAAATTGATGCTTTTGAACTGTGGTGTTGGAGAAGACTTTTGAGAGTCCCTTGGACTGCAAGGAGATCCAGCCAGTCCATCCTAGAGGAGATCAGCCCTGGGTGTTCATTGGAAGGACTGATGCTGAAGCTGAAACTCCAGTACTTTGGCCACCTGATGCAAAGAGTTGACTCATTGGAAAAGACCCTGATGCTGGGAGGGATTGGGGGCAGGAGGAGAAGGGGACGACAGAGGATGAGATGGCTGGATGGCATCACCGACTCGATGCACATGAGTTTGAGTAAACTCCAGGAGTTGGTGATGGACAGGGAGGCCTGGCGTGCTGCAGTTCATGGGGTCTCAAAGAGTCGGACACGACTGAGCGACTGAACAGAACTGAACTGAACTGGCATGAGGCATCCAGCCCTGGAATTTGCTGGCCTTTGGGGGGGTCTGGTCCTAGTGTCCAGATGGAGACCTTTGGCAGAGCTCTCACCAATTAATGTTTCATGGGGACATTCTTTGGAAGTTCTCTGGTGGTCCAAAGTCCTGGACCTAGGTCTCCCCATCTTGGGGTTCAGGCCCTACTCATTACTGTGCAATAAGACTGCACAGGCCACACAGCACAGAAGACCAAGACTAATGGTGAAAGCAATATGCAACAGCCCAGAACACCCAAACACACACATTTACAAAGAGAAAAAAAGACAGAAAGAAAAGAGAGAATAAAAAAGGATTAAGATGGGAGTCAAAACAGAAGAGAGCAATCAAGCCAATAAACAAACCCATAAGTGAAAATGAATACTAAAATCTAGACTAACAAAAGCACAAAATCAGAAACATGGAAAAATGCAAAATAGAGTACAGAAAAATAAGAAAAAATAGAATGCATTTTTAAAAAGATGGTTTCAAAAAGAAAAAAGCAGGTTCTAAAAATAAAAATTAAAGGAATCATAGAGAACAACATTAGAACAATATGTAAAAGAGAAAAATATAGAGAGAGTGGCATTAAGAAGAATTTCCTCATGATCCATCCATTGCCCTCTTGCAACAGTGTGCTCCTGTCAGCCTCCTCAGAACATCCTCCAATACATCTGAGAAGGTCTCTGGACCTCTTGTGGATAGTATGGGATCAGCTCAGATTCAGATCTCACCTTACTTCAGATTGTACTTGCTCCCAAAGTCCACACTTGCCCCTAATGTCCACTGTCTCAGGCTAATTGTGGGGATTTAATTCACTGTCATCTGCATATCTGAGGTTATTGATGTTTCTCCTGGCAATCTTGATTCCAGCTTGTGCTTCTTCCAACCCAGTGTTTCTCATGATGTACTCTGCATATAAGTTAAACAAGCAGGGTGACAATATACAGCCTTGACATACTCCTTTTCCTATTTGGAACCAGTCTGTTGTCCTATGTCCAGTTCTAACTGTTGCTTCCTGACCTGCATACGGGTTATGGCAGATAGTGAAGAGGAAATAAGAAGCCTCTTGATGAAAGTGAAAGAGGAGAGTGAAAACGTTGGCTTAAAGCTCAACATTCAGAAAACTAAGATCATAGCATCTGGTCCCACTACATAATGGGAAATAGACGGGGAGACAGTGGAAACAGTGTCAGACTTTATTTTTGGGGGCTCCAAAATCACTGCATATGGTGATTGCAGCCATGAAATTAAAAGACGCTTACTCCTTGGAAGGAAAGTTATGACCAACCTAGACAGCATATTAAAAAGCAGAGACATTACTTTGCCAACAAAGTTTCATCTAGTCAAGGCTATGGTTTTTCCAGTGGTCATGTATGGATGTGAGAGTTTGACTGTGAAGAAAGCTGAGCGCTGAAAAATTGATGCTTTAGAACTATGGTGTTGGAGAAGACTCTTGAGAGTCCCTTGGACTGCAAGGAGATCCAACCAGTCCATCCTAGAGGAGATCAGCCCTGGGTGTTCATTGGAAGGATTTATGCTGAAGCTGAAACTCCAGTACTTTGGCCACCTGATGCAAAGAGTTGACTCGTTGGAAAAGACCCTGATGCTAGGACAGATTGGGGGCAGGAGGAGAAGGGGACAACAGAGGATGAGATGGCTGGATGGCATCACCAACTCGATGGACATGAGTTTGAGTAAACTCCGGGAGTTGGTGATGGACAGGGAGTCCTGGCATGCTGCGGTTCATAGGGTCGCAAAGAGTCGGACACGACTGAGCGACTGAACTGAACTGAACTGAATTCACTGTACCTGCGGCTGCAGGAGCTATTTCCCCTTCTCTCCTCTGCTTACCCGACCCCTGATGTTCCTCTTTGGTTCCGGACCTTCCTCAGCTTGTAGGCCGCTCACTGGCGTGTGTTCTCTACCCACAGTGAAGGGGTGAGAGTAGCGGCTTACGGGGGCTCACCTGCTCAGACGGTCTGGGGAGAGGGAAGGGTATGCAGACACAGTTGGGGTGTGTGGAGAGTGCGCAGCGCAGCTGAGAGCTGTGCAGGGACGCCACAGTCAGGCGGGTTTTGCCCTCCCCGGGGGGACTGGCCCCGATGTTGGGTCTGTCCGCGGAGCGCAGCAGCTCAGGCTCTCGGGACGGTGTGGGCCGTGATCCACACCCTTTCACAGTTTGGGGGCAGCTGCACCTCCTGGGGTTGAGACCACAGCAGGCTGATACCTCCTCCACCTCTGGCACTCACACTGGCCCTGGTGCCCGAGTGGCCCATGCCCCCCTCTCCGTTATTAGAAACTGCAGCGGCGCCAGCTTTTTAAGCGCGGGTCTTAGCCCGCGGCCGGCTTGTCCCACCGCGGCACTCGTGAGGGCGGAGTCCTGCCCTCGGGTCCACGCCGAGAGCCTGAGCCTGAGCGCCCAGCCCGTGACTCGCTGCGGTGGGTGACTGAGCCCCTTTCTGGCTGGGAAGTGCCGTTCAGCAATGATGTCTGAGGCTAATTCTCTCCATTTTGCCTTCCACGCACCTGTTGCTCCGTTCCCCTCTGAGGTTCTGAATCTCTCCCCAGAACTGCCTGTGAGGGTTTTTTAACTGTGTGAAAACTTTTTCTTCCACGACTCCCTCCCTGGGGTGCAGGTCCCATCCCAAATCCATTGTATCGTTTTTACCTGTATCTTTTGCCCTGCCTCATTCTGAGGAGATTGGCTTGCCTTTTTGGAAGTCTGGGGTCTTCTGTCAGGGTTCAGAAGGTGTTCTGTGGGAGTTGTTCCACATGCAGATGAATTTTTGATATATTTGTGGGGAGGGAGGTGATCTCTCCGTCTTATTCCTCCACCATCTTGAAAGTCTCCTCAATCTGTTGAAATTTTGACCTAACTTTCAATATTTGTTCTCTTAATATTAGATGGTGTCTGGATATCCAAAAAAAAAAATGTTATGTTTCTTGTCTGGATTTTTTTGGTGCATTTAAAAAATCCCATTAATAGGCAAAAAATTCACAAAAAATAGCAAAACTTGTGAAATTAAATTTAAACAAAGGATAAATTAGGGCAGGATTTAGGAATTTTCCCCAGTCTGTTTCATAAAGTTGTGTATTAGGAGCAGATTTTTGATAAGTAGAAGAAATCTTACAGAGTATTTTTCAGTAAATATAACACTGTAACTCATATTTCAGAATATCTTATTAATTCAACAGAAGTGAAGAATGTGTACACTTAATATATTTGAATAATCAGATCTAATTTTTCCTATTTGTAAATAAGCTTAATAATTTTCATTGTTCTAGATTAGTGCAAAAACCCAAGGCAATATTCTACTCTGCCTCTGTGATTTACCAAGATACATGAAGCAGATCCAACCTAATCAGATGACTGCTTTTGCCACGTTTTATACTGCATTTCCTCTACTCTCCTGACTTCCCTGGGGGCTCAGACATAAAGGGTCTGCCTACAATGTGGGAGACCCAAGTTCAATCCCTGGGTCAGGAAAATCCCCTGGAGAAGGATATGGCAGCCCACTCCAGTACTCTTGCCTGGAAAATCCCACGGGCGGAGGAGCCTGGTGGGCTACAGTCCATGGGGTCACAAAGAGTTGGACACGACTGAGCGACTTCACTTTCTTTCCTGATGTTCTGCCCAAGGCCTTAAGAGCAGCTTGAAATGCTGCATTTTCCTGCAGCCAGTTCAGGATAAAGTCTCTTCCAATATTGCAGTTCTATTTCACAAATAAGTGTGATAACTGCACAGATGAAAGACAGCATTCTCCACTAAAATCTGAAACAGACAATCACACAGCACTTTCTACTTGATACTGGCAAACAAGCCTGAGTTTTGTTTCCACAGAAGCAAATGATGATATCCATTTGGCTAGTATAAAAAGCCATGCCCTTTTCTATTAGTCTGAGGAAGCAAAATACTGCTTGAAATGACTATGGCCACTTGGGGATGATCAAAACGTTTCACATCATCTGTCTACTTGTTTTAAACAGAAAGTTCCAGTATACTGAAATCTAGTTCAGACCAAAAATTCATCCTTGAAATATCTGAAGATAAATATTTACTCTCTTAAAAACTATGAGATAAAGTGGTACAATGTGCTCTATTAAAATTAAATCAATTAGCGCTTCACACAACCCGTGTGCACAGGCTGGGCACTGACAATCAGCCGTGAAGTGGGGGCTTGCCTACGGCAGTTCCAAGAACACAGCCAGCAACTGATTAAAGTGAGCTTTCACACATCATCTGTGGTCACGTTCTGCTTGGGATAGTTCGTATATTTGCAAAGGCAGCAGTAAATAAGACAACAGAGGCAATAGTTTTCCTTGAAGCAGAAAAGAAGGTGGTCAACCAAGCTACAGTTGTAGTTTAAATCTAATAGCAAGGGATTCATGGAAAAGTGCTGACTTTGGCATTCTATGTGAAAAGACCATCCAGGATTGAAATATGCTAGAAAGATAATTCTTACTTGGAAGATTTATGATTAAAATTTTAATTTGTTCTAATATTTGTCCAATTAAATCAGTTAGAGGCATTTGGCCGAAAGTCAACCTTTACATTAGGAAGCAATATTTTTAAAAGGTTTTGGCCAGAAATGATGACACCAATGTTTTATTTGGATGAGAGGGAAAAAATAGAGAAGGAAAAGATGGAGAAAGATAAATAATTGTATAAAAAGTGAGGTTTCCCTCCAAAAACAATGTTTCAATTCATTTATCAATCTCCTGGTCCCTTAAAATCCTTTTGTAGGAGTCAGGATTGTTGTTCATTCATTCAACAAATATGTATTCTGTCCTTACTTTGCAAAACTGTCAGTGATGAAGCCCTAAGGGAGATAAAAATCCCAAGCCTCTAGGAATTTACATTCTAGGCTTAAGCTATATGAACAAATGGCTTCATAACTATATTGAGAAATATTTCATCTTCTTTGATCAGAATAATCTAGCAGAAAGCAGGATACAACATCTTACCAAGTATTATAGTTTTTTCTCTTTACAATACATATTCTTCATTTCTTCCTTGATTTTCCAATGCCTTATATTTTTCCTCTTCATTTATCGTCTTGCTTTATATTTTACATAAAGAATGCAAATCATTCCAAAAATGTCCAATCATCTCATGATCAAATATGCAACCAAATTGCACCTGCCAGTAAGTTATTTACTGAAGAAATGGGGGAAATTTTCTTTCTCTTGGCAATGGTCACCTTGCTTCTTCTTTATGATTTTATCTTTTTTTTTTTTTTTTGATTTTATCTTTTTGGTGATTTTCTCTGTTCTTGCATCATTATCCTCTTTCTCTCTCTCTCTGTTTCTTTCTCTTTATGTCTCTCACTCTCTCTCTCTCTCCCCTAAATGGCTTTCATATGCCAGAGGTCATTCCTTCACAACATGTTTCACATCATGACACACATATAAAGTTATAATAATCTTGACTCACACTGTAGAAAACTGGTGAGACTGTCCAAGTACTGAGACAGGTGGCTCCTCTTTTCTTAGGTCATCTGATTCTAGTCCAAGCTATGGTTTTTCCAGGAATCATATATGGATGTGAGAGTGGGACTATAAAGAAAGCTGAGCACCAAAGAATTGAAGAATTGATGCTTTTGAACTGTGGTGTTGGAGAAGATTCTTGAGAGTCCCTTGGACTGCAACCAGTCCATCCTAAAGGAAATCAACCCTGAATATTCATTGGAAGGACTGATGCTGAAGCTGAAACTCCAAAACTTTGGCCACCTGATGAGAGGAACTGACTTGTTGGAAAAGACCCTGATGCTGGGAAAGATTGAAGGCAGGAGGAGAAGGGGACGACGGATGAGATGGTAGGATGATATCACTGACTTGATGGACATGAGTCTGAGCAAGCTCTGGGAGTTGCTGATGAACAGGGAGCCCTGCCTGCTGCAGTCCATGGGGTCACAAAGAGTTGGACATGACTGAGCGACTGAACTGAACTGATGTATTACAGGCAAAATGGTGGGCCTGGGCACTTATATAGGAATATTTACATATAAAGATGCAATGTCTTTTATTTTATAATCAAACAAGCAAATAAACAAAACCTTTTACCCCATATAGCCTATTCAGCTCCTTTATGGTCTCCTTTATATCTAAAATTCTTACAAAGATTTTCTGTACATGCTTCTCCTAAGCATTTTCTTATCTCTCACTCTTCAAAACACTCTAGTCAATTTGCCTTCTCTGTGACTGCCATTGTCAAAATCAACAAATCGAATGCATATTTCTCTGCCTTTAATTTGAAAGTTTCCTTCTTTGAACTCTATTTTTCTTCACTCTCATGATTGATTTCAGAATTTCCTGTTTTTTTTCTTTTATCTGTGGAATTCTGATTCTATTATTTCTCAGTCCTTATTTCTGGCTCCTCTGCCTCTATCTGACTTGAGAACCAGGTTCGTTACCCTCTTTGTTTTTTCTCCTGAGATCTTCTTTCCCAGCCACATGGTTTCATTATCACATATATACTAATGAAACAAAATTTAAATTCTCGATGTAGCCTTCTTGTCTTGGCATTTCCATTTGAATGTTTTGTCATTGTTGTTCAGTTGCTCAGTTGTGTCCGACTCTTTGCAACCACATGGACTGCAGCACGCCAGGCCTCCCTGTCCTTCACTACCTCCTCGAGTTTGTTCAGACTCATGTCCATTGAGTCAGTGATTCCATCCAACCATCTCATCCTCTGTCACCCCCTTCTCCTCCTGCCTTCAATCTTTCCCAGCATCAGGATCTTTTCCAATGAGTCAGTTCTTCTCATCAAGTGGCCAATGTATTGGAGCTTCAGCTTCAGGATCAGTCCTTCCAAGGAATATTCAGTGTTGATTTCCTTTAAGATTAACTGATTTGATCTCCTTGCTGTCTAAGGGACTCTCAAGAGTTTTCTTACCACCACAGTTTGAAAGCATCAATTCTTTGGTTCTCATCCTTCTTCACGGCCCACCTCTCACATCCATACATGGTTACTGAAAAAAATCATAGCTCTGACTATGCAGATCTTTGTTGGCAAAGTGATGTCTCTGCTTTTTAATACACTGTCTAGATTCATAATAGCTTTTCCTCCAAGGAGTAAGTGTCTTTTAGTTTCACGGCAGTCACTGTCCGCAGTGATTTTGGACCCAAACT